CCCAAAGAATAGCAAGCATCCTTATATGTAGGAAAAAGCACCCCATTGACCGTTCTCAAATCTTCATAACTTGTACAACCCTTTTGAAAATTAAGTAAAGTTCGGAGATAGGAATCTTCTCCATTATTGGCAGAAAAACGATTTATTATTCCAATTGAAAATCCTTGTTTTCTGGGATGCCATTTATGCGTACTTTCTTTATATACAAATTGAGTTGGATACTCTGCATAAGTAAGATTTCTACCTTCTGGATATTTTTTATTTGCATCCATCCAAGACTCGAACATTGATTGTCTAGACTCCGCCCTAGTCTTGACATCGGTTATTGAAGCATGATCATTAAAAACAACGCTTTTTTCATTGGGTAGGTGAAATGGCAATCGCTGAACAGGGGGGAATCTGTAATGAATCTCAAATCTGAATATTCTCCAAGCAGCTTCACATGCGGACACATACCTATCATATATAAGCAATAAATTCAAATTAAGTTAGAAAAAGGTTATTCCAAGTAACGAAAGGAAACATAACCGATATGAATTCAACAACCTGCAATCATAAAACATTTTGATTTCATCATCTGAATGATTTATAGCAGCTGTCACCCTGTCTTGCCCTTTATGGATGTATTTAAAGAGATATTTAATGGCACTACTTTGACAAGTATATTCAACATTGATATGCGCTTGATATTTTAGAAGAAGTTTTGCATTATACGGCACAACATAACAATTATCAAGTTCAACGCCGTTCTTTTTGACAACACTTCCATCATTTCTTCTTCTATAATGAGGGAATCCATCATCATCAATAAAAGTACGGGAGCAGAACTTCTTGGGAAATTTCTTTGAACAATGTCTGTTCTTCATGCAAGGAGACTTGTAATTGTCAGGACCACAGGGTCCATGCATCATATAACTCGTGACAGCTGCAAAAAGTGAAGGATTGGAATCTTTGTTAGGAATCTCAGCTGAAATCAAATTATCAATGTCAAGTCCAGTATTAGGCTTTTCGGAGGGATGCAAGAAAAGTAGAATATGAGCATGAGGCAGTCCACGTTTCTGAAATTCAACTATACAAACATCTGTTACATTAAACAAACAGACAGAGTTAGTTAAAATCAATAAAGTGGTTTTTTCGATTTTTATTTTGAATTTTTTTGGTAGGATACATAAAATTGTGGTCCGGTTTGTCCAATTATTTTCTATATGTCAATGTGTAAATTTTGTCATAAAAATCGAAAAAAAAATAATCTCAACAATACACTTACGTGCATTAACTGTGCCAAGAACACGACCCTTTTTTAAATCATGTAGCAATTCGTCTAATTTGAACTTGAATACTCGGCAAAGAATATCAAGACGATCTTCAGCGTTGGGTTTTCTTGCCTTAAGAAATCTGGTAATCTCTGGCCACTTAGGATTGCAGGTGATCGTTATAAACAGATGAGGATATCCAGCCCAACGGAAGATTGCAAAGGCATCTTTACAATTCTCAGCCATATATCTAGGTCTGCCTGTGAACGAAGAAGGAATAATGATACGCTTTCCAGTGTTTATAGCTTCATCTTCACAACTGTCAAATGCATTTTTAATTTTTTTGTATAACTCTGCCCTGAGATGACTCTGGTTATATTGAATAAAATTCAGCCGATCAGACTCAACCATAGTGTAAGCATCAACAAAAAATTGTTGAAAAAGCTTCCTTGAGTGATGGAGAACTTCGGACTCTCCTGATCTCATTTGAATTCTGAACGAAAAGAATTCTTGCATGCTAACAGTGGATCTTGGATTAGTCCTACCATGGGATGTATAAGATCGCTCGACATCATCACGATAACCATCTTCACCATAAGGAAATAACAAAGGATACTGCAATCCAAGATACAACGGATGCTTGACATCTATACGCTCCAAAACTCTATCTTGTGTCTCAACAACAATATCCCTATCATAAAATGAATGAACAATAAGCATAAAATCTTAGATAAGATGACAAATTCCAACACAAAAATCAATTAAAACAGCTGATTTCTTTTTGTAATAATTTTTATATATTTTTTGTAAACTACAGCTACATAAAAAACCAAAAAGCTTTTTTCTAAAAAGCAAAAAAAATTAATTTAAAAAAAAGAAAAATTCAAAAATCAAATATTTTTTTAAAATCTATTTTTTTTGTAAAAAATATTTCTAAAATTAAAAGGCATAATTTTTTTTTTTATAAGTCAATTCAAATAGACCCTTAATTATTCTTATTTTCTCACAAAATCAGTTCAAAATAAGTTCAAAAACAGTTTAGAAGCTATTTATATTTCAGAAGCGGTTCATACTTCATAACCAGATCAAAATTCATTTGAGTATTTAGTTGATTCATTTTAATTTTTAAATTTATTTATAAAATCAGTTCAATTCTTAAAATTAGTTGAGAAAAATGTGTTTCCATTCCATTCGATTCAATTTGATTTGGTTCGATTATTTTACACGTCTTAATAACAACGTAGAACGTGAGGTTTATGTTGTGGAGTCAATAACCCCCTAACAATGGGTGGGAAAAAATAGAAGGAAACACAAGCTTTTAAAATAAAGTTTCATTATTTTATTTTAGATAAAAAAGGTTATCATTATAGTAAAATTAAAAGTATCTTCTATGTACCGAAAAAAAATATCTGCTACTATATTTTCTTTTTCGATAATAGATTTGCCTTCAGCTAATATTCTTTTCCCACCATCCATATTTAAATTCAAAATTTTAAACCATTTCAAATTTCGAATTTTAGATCAAACGACCAATTACAACATAAAAAGCAATTAAAACACCTGATTATCCAATTAAAATAATGAATGAACAATAAGCAGCACATGACAAATTACCTGTTAAGTCTTCCATTCGAGTTATATTTTTTTTTTTTTGGAAAATTCAATTCGAGTTATATTGTCTACATTAATAAAACGCCTAGAATTTTTCTTTTCAGCCAGTATGCTTTTTCGCCTCATTTTAGTATTTTTGGTATCTATCAAAAAATATGAGGACGCCAATTTTTTGAACCAAATGAATTACGATGCAAACGATAAAATTAAATACTTACGGAGATATTTTTATATCAAACCAAATGAATTTAATTGACACAACCTTTGTAGTAATGTTAGCGTTAATAATATTACGAAGTTGTTGTCTGTTATAGCTCAACTGATTGTGTACATTGCCTACTTCGTAAAGTCTACATGTTATAAAAAGCAACAATCATAAACAACATCGAATGGAACTAAAAGGGATTTGAAATCAATCATTAGAACGCAACACAAAAAGAACTCAGAGCGAAATAAAAAATACCTGCTGGCCTGGGTGTCAGTGAATGGAGATAGATTCTCTACAAAAGAGAACAAATACACAACCAATAAACATGTGTTCTGTACACTGATATGAACTCATACACGTTGAAGAAAAAAAATTTAATAACATTTACATACGAAGAATTATATCATATTATTTTTTTAAGGTTTAAACTACAAATACTTTTCTACAATTTAACAGTGAACGTAATGTTACCGTTAGTAATATTACGGTGCTATTGTCTATTGCAGCTCAACTGATTGTGTACATTGCTTACTTCAGAAAGTCTACATGTTATATTTTGCACAATCAGAAATAACATCTAATGGAACTAAAAAGGATTTGAAATCAACCATTACAAAGCAACACAAAAAGAACTCAGAGCGAAATAAAAAATACCTGCTGGTCTGGGTGTCAGTGAACGGAGATAGATTCTCTACAATATGACAAACAAAAGCAACTTATCAAAGTCTGCATACAAAGAAATATATTTATTTATATATTTTTTGTAAACTACAGCTACATGTAATAGGGATATGTTATGACTGGAAAAAAAAACAAAAGCAACTTATGTTCATAGTGAAAGGAGTAAAAAAGAAGCGCAACTTATGTTCATAGTAAGCATTGTAAAAAGAAATGAACAACAAAGAAACTTCTGTAACAGAAAATAAACATACGAACCATGAACAGGTTGAAGGATAGTGTTTCGCACTTACCAGTAAAGGGAAACAACACACGACAGCCTGAGGTCGAAGAATCACTCAGAATATTTTTTAAACGGTCCGTCCTTCTTCTCTTATTTTGGGGAGTTTGGAAATCTGATTGATGTTTATTCATGACAGCACCCAACTTGCTTGGAAGAACTTTTGATTAAGAGAAAAGAGAAGATAAATTAAGAACTTTGTAAACTCTCCTTTATATGTATATAGATGTGCTTCAACGGAAAAACGAAGAGAAAAGAGAGATACTCCCAAAAATACCAAAAAAATAGAAAAGAAAAGTCTGCGAGATCAAAAAAACTCAGTGTGCAGAAATGACAGTGCCGTATTCGAATTGCAGGGTGCAATTAAGATACATAGGACAAACGTCATTAAGATAGAAGTCATTTAAAATTTAAAATTGATGGTCAGAACATGTGCGCTTTCACTTTATAATTTTGGGTAATAAAAATTTAAAATTTACAAAATTACTTATTCGTAAAATTATAAATTTTAATTACTTATTCGGTAATTTAATTAAATATATGTTTTTCTTTTTGAGGGAGCAATTTCTGGTCATGAAAGACAAATGTCATTATCTGTTTCAACGTTTAAAAACAAAATAACTATATAATAAAAAAAATGTAGGCGTTTCGAGCTTCATATGCTTCCAGGTTCTTGCACGTAAAGATTAAAATTCGATTTTTAAAAGAAATTTTTTCCCCACCATCCATATTTAAATTTAAAATTTTAAACCATTTCAAATTTCATATCAGACGACCAATTCCAACATAAAAAGCAATTAAAACACCTGATTATCCAATTAAAATTTCGAATTTCAAAACCATATTTATTTATTAATTATTCTTTTATGTCTGCCACCACAAATAGTCATTTAATTATTTTAATTTAAATTTTAAAATTCAATTTTTACAAGAATTTCTTTTCCCGTGAGCTTCAAAAAAAAAAGAGATAATGAGTGAAGAGAGAGAAACCGGCAAAGAGGCGAGAGATGCTACGACGGAGGAGGAAGATCTTCTCCATCGAAGCACAAAAAAACCTAAAGGCCCTGCTATGGAAGATCAACCTATGGATGATCACATGGCAGAGGAGGATATCCAGGTGAATGTGACTAGCAACGGGGGAAAAAAGAAGGAAGAGTCAGGTGATTCATCTAACAGGAAGTTGGTGTCATATAAAGATTCTCTTCTTGGTTTTAATGGAGGACCCCATGTTGCTGATAGCGATGAGGAAGATTGGGTAGAAAAACTACGTAAGGAAGAGGACGAAGAAGAAGGGGATGAGGTCTTTGTTACGGTTGATGGTAAGGAGGATCCTCTTTGCCCAACGTACTCTTTTCCAAAAGCCTTGCATTTAGAAGGTTGCAGACCTTGGAGACAGGCAGTGATTGTGAAACTTCTGGGGAAGAAAGTTGGAGTTAGATTCTTACTCAATCGTTTACTGAGAATGTGGAATATCTCAGGCACATATGAGTTCATTGATCTGGAGAATGACTACTTTTTGTTCCGATTTTCAAATAAGAATGATTACTCTCATGTTTTGGAGGATGGTCCTTGGATCATAGCTGATCATTATGTGGTAGTTCAACGGTGGCGTCCATTTTTTAATCCTTATGATGATGAGATCAGAAAGCTGGCAGTTTGGATTCGTATTCCAGGACTTCCTATTGAATTCTATACCTCTCATCATTTGTGGAATATAGGTAGTATTTTTGGTCGCACATTGAAGATTGATAGGAACTCTATCAGGAAACGTGATTCTGGTGAAGGTGATATTACAGAGAGAGCAAAGTTTGCTAGAATTTGTGTCGAAGTTGATCTTAGGAAAGGCTTTTTGTCCAAATTCTGGATTGCTGATCGTATCTTCCATGTTGGATATGAGGGTCTCCACTTAGTTTGTTTTGCTTGTGGAAAGTATGGGCATAGAAGGGATCAGTGTTCCCATAGTAATCTTCAACAAGATACTACGGCTTATTCTCCTGAAGTTTCTGACTCGGTGGTGCATAAGCAGCCGGAAAAAGATTCTGTTCCGGCGAAGGAGGAACCGTTTGGGAATTGGATGCTAGTGCAGCGTAACCGTCGATCAAGGAGCATAGCACAATCAAAGGAGGAATCAAGGAGCATAGCACAATCAAAGGAGGAATCAAGGAGCATAGCACAATCAAAGGAGGAATCATTACCATCGGGTAGGAGACAAGTTGGCGTTGTTAATAATGCAGCGTTACGTAATAAGGCAGTTTCCAATTATCATCCTAATCACAGACAGGTCATTCAATCAGGTTCAAGATTTCAAGCTATTGCTGAGTTGGCTCAAAAGGATAATAATATCTTAATTATTTCTGATTCTCCAGTGATTGATTCAATCAGCATTGAATCTGGTCTGACACGAATTAATCATGGGGAATTAATTGCTCATAATGAAGAACCGTTGGTGAAAAAGGATATTCAAATGGAAACAGTTTCTCCATCTGCTAACCTATCCGCGGGCAAGTCGAGAAAAGAGGTCCAAAGTCAAGGAGTAAAATTCAAAGAGAACCAAAAGAAGAAAGCAACTGCATCATCTGCTAAAGTTCATCAGCTGGTCCAGAATGCTAATATTAGCAAAGGCAGATTAAATGCTTCAAAAGGTGCAGAATCTCAAAAGAATAATTTTAAACTTGATTCTCAGAAGAATATGTCGGAGGATTTCCAAGATAGACAAATTGTCTTGCACCCTTCTATATCTAAATTCCAGAGGAAGACGTCTCATGTGGTTAATGATCAGCAAGAGACTCTTCCTTCTTCTAGTGGCTTGGATAATGGAGGTAAACATGGAAGACCACCAGATGCTCTTACGTTAATGAGGAATTTTTATCAAACTCACAAGGATTCTATCCCTTTGGATAATTTGGACGTTTTGGGTGCGACTTCGGTCTATACCAATGCTCTTTCTTAGGGCCGGTTTCTGTTCGGATAAATTTAAGATTGTTTTTATGAATATTTTGACCTGGAATTGTAGAGGGGCTGGGAAAAGGATTTTTCCGCCTCTAATTCGGGATCTTTCTCATAGATACAGTATTAAAGTTATGGCTTTGTTAGAAACTAGATTGAGTGGTGTTATGGCGGATAGAGCTATTCGGCGTCTTGGTTTTTCTGGTCACTTTCATCGTGATGCTGTTGGTTTTTCTGGCGGTATTTGGGTGCTTTGGAACACTGATGAAGTTTCAGTGGATGTTCTTTTTTCTCATCACCAACTTGTCCATACTAAAATTTGTTGGGTAAAAGAAAATAGAGAGGAGTTCATGACTTTTATTTATGCAAGTCCGCGAAGACAGGAACGTATTCAGCTGTGGGAAATTCTGTCTTCACTGTTTGATCAGTCCATGAGGAATGCAGCTTGGGGGATAGCAGGTGATTTTAACACTTATTTGTATGAGTATGAGAAGCTAGGTGGTAATGGGCATAACTGGAATAGCATGAGGGAATTTCGTGATTGTTTAGATGAATGTAGCTTGTCTGACATTGGCAATCAAGGTCCTATTTTCACTTGGCAAAGAAGAAATCTTCAGGAACGTCTTGATAGGGTTTGCGCTAATGATAATTGGAACTTGGTTTTCCCTAACCGTGTGGCTTTCAACTTGCCTTTCTTTGGCTCAGATCATCGACCAGTGTTATTATGGGAAGGTCAACCTGCTATTTATCCGAGAGGGGAGCGTCCTTTCCGTTTTCTAGCGTCCTGGTTAACAGAGAGCACTTTTCATGAGGTGGTTAATGGATGTTGGTCAAACAATGTAAACTGGATGCATGCTATGGAGACATTTCAGATTAATGCTTCGGAATGGCATAGAAATGTTTATAGGATTGCTCTGAAAAGAAAGAATGATTTGCATGCAAGGATTAGAGGTATTGATAGATGTCTTAGTTATCAGTACAGTCATAGCCTTGAGATGTTGCAAAAGGATCTATGGAGGGAACTAGACAAGATTTATCTTCAAGAGGAAATTACTTGGTTTCAAAGATCAAAATTGAATTGGTTTGCTCTTGGAGATAGGAACTCGCGTTTCTTTCATTCTGTGACGGTTGCCAGACGTAGGAGGAATCGCATAGATACGTTGAAAAACTCAGAGGGAGTTTGGATTGGTGATCAACAGGTTTTAATGGAAATGGCTGTTTCTTTCTTTGAAAATCTGTACACAAAAGATCCATTACCTAAACCGGCTTTTCCAGTTCGTGGCTTTTTTCCAGTTATTGAAGCGCATGCTTTAGACACGATGAGTATTATGCCAAACAGTAAGGAGATCAGAGATGTAGTCTTCTCTTTTGGTCCATACAAGTCGCCTGGGAAGGATGGGCTTAATGCTCTTTTCTTTCAATCTCAGTGGGATAAGGTGGGTGAGTCAGTTATCTCTTTTGTGAAAGGTGTACAGAAGCCACAGAAGGGCAAGCTGTTATTATTAATAAGATTCTTGATTGTTTTTGCAGGTGCTCTGGTGAGAAGGTTAGCAAGGAAAAAACAAAAGTCTTCTTATCCAGAAACGTTAATCATACCCGAGTGCAGAATCTAAGCCAGTTGATGGGCTACTCTCCTACAAATGACTTGGGTAAATACTTGGGTATTCCTCTTCGTCATAGCCGTGTTACAAAGAGTACGTTTGGCTATATCTTAAATCGGATGCAAGCTCGTTTAAATGCCTGGAATCAACGTACTCTTTCATTGGCAGGAAGATCAACTTTGGCTAGGTCAGTTCTTACTGCAATTCCTCAATATCCTATGCAAACTTGTATTATTCCTAGTGGTACGTGTGATCGTATTGAGAGTGTAACTAGGAATTTCATTTGGGGATCAACTTCTGAACGAAGGAAAGCTCACCTGGTTTCTTGGGAGACAGTTTGTTTGCCGAAGAATGTAGGGGGGCTTGGTTTTCGTAAAATTAAAGAGAATAATATGGCTTTTATCATGAAGCTAGGTCACCAAATCATGACTGATCGTAATTCGTTATGGGTTCGGGTCCTTCGTAGCAAGTATAAGGTGGAGGAAAGGCTCATTCCAAGTATCTCGGCTTCCGCAAATGATTCTGGTTTATGGAAGGCTATTGTTAAGTATTGGCCTCAAACTCTAGAGAATTCTCGTATCATTTTAGGGGATGGGGTTCATACGTATTTTTGGATGGATTCGTGGGTGCCAGGATGTCCTCAACTTGTTTCTCTGGCCGTTCAACCTATTCCTCCTATTATGACTCATTGGTCTACGTCTCAATTTGTAACTTGTTATGGTAATTGGGACTGGCCTTTATTTCAGCACCTTCTTCCTACGTCAGTATTAGACAAGATTCGTAGTGTGCTCCCTCCTACAGTGGATCCTTCTCCGGACCGTGTTATTTGGGCAGGTAGCCAAGATGGGGTTTTTTCAGTGAAATCAGCTTATAACTATCTCATGGGTACCTCGCATTATCATCAGGATAGGATTTGGAAGGTAATTTGGGCTTGGCCTGGTCCTGAACGTATTAAACAATTCTTATGGCTTCTCTACAGAGGTTCTCTTTTAACTAATGTTCATAGAGTGCATCGTCACATGGCTACAGATGCAGGGTGTCTGAGATGTCATTATAATCTTGAGGATAGTTTACATTCCATTAGAGATTGTCCTAGTGCCAGGGAATTATGGGAGCATTGGATTCCTTCTGATAACCGTAGTGACTTTTTCTCCATGGATCTTCACCTATGGATTCAGACAAATCTAGGATTAAAAGGTCCGTTTCAAACTGATCGAACCTGGCCTTTGTATTTTGGGGTGATAGCTTGGTGTTTG